GGGCTAGGTGGTTCATCAACAACACCTTCCCCGAAGTGGACCAATGCAACGCGCGGGAGGAAGCTCTGAGGTATGGTGGAGCGTCCGTGGTGAAGCACGTTCTAGAGGTATGTTAAAGTATTGATGTTGTGCAGTGAACCTGTTTCGCCTTCTCTTCGTTCTTTTTTAACTTCAGTTTTGATTTGCAGAGCGCGAGCTGGGTGAATGGTCTAGCCCAGGAATTCAGGGAGAGCCTGAAGGATCGCGCACTCTTGCAGAGGCAGCGGGACTAGTTGCAGAAGGAGAATGAGGAGTTGGAGAAGAAGAATAAGGAACTGCAAGAGTCTCTGAACGAGGTGGTTCCAACTGTTTCACAGTTAGAGCAGGAGAAGGCTTCCCTGAGCACCAAGCTCGCTTTTGAGGAGAGCAAACGAAGGATCGCTGAAAGCGAGCATGAGGCTCAGGCGCAAGAAATGAAGCTGATGACAAAGGCATTCAAGGAGCTGAAGGGGAATATGCGGAAGTTGGTGCATAATGGGTTGAAGGAGCACATCAGCAACTTCATCAGTTCCAGCTCATTTGATAGCATCGTCAACTTGTACCGGCTGCCCACTGCCATCATTACTTTCACAGACTGCAGAAAGAAGGTGAAGGCTGAATATTCCGAAGTGGATGTGACAAAGATCACCTTCGGCGAGCAAGAAGGAGGAGTGGAGGAGGATGGCGAGAGCATGTCAGCAGACTTCTGTCCTCAGATTAAGCTGAGGTGGGAGGATGATGCAGACGGTCTTGTTGTTTTTCCTCCACAGTTCGACTTCGAGTTCGTTGCAGTGGAGGAAGAAGGGGCAGAGGTAGAGAAGGACGAGATGGAGGCAGGAGTGGAGGGAACTGAAGTGGGTGAGATCCAACCAGTTCCAGAAGTGGAGATTCATCCAATTCCCTCTGACGATGAGCAGCCTCCTCTGCCGGACGAGCAGCAGCCAGCACAGCCACCTCCTCCAGCTGAGTAGGAGCCAGTGGAGCCACCTCTCTCAACAGAGAAATAATTTTGTTTTTTGATTTTTTGTAAAGACATTTAAACAGTTTGTAATATTTATGTTATTCTGAATGAAAATTCATTTTTGAAATTATGTGTTTATTTGTGTTTGCCTGTTTATTATTATATATTGATAGAAGAATTGAGACTACCTTTAAAAAGGATAGTTAATAAAAAGAAGTTAATCACTTCAGAAACGAACTCCAGAGAAGTAAACCACTTCAAGTGAATTAATAACAAGTATATCACTGTAAATGACTTGAGGGAAGATAAAGCACTTCAAATGTGAAGTGACATTTATTAACAGAAATGAGGTTCAAGGAATGAATGAACTGATTGACCTCAGATACATAGAATAAGAGGTAAAATGAATCTCAACTAACACGAAGTGAGAAGCATAAAGAACAGCAAGACATAGATCTCTTGAAAGAATTTTATTAGGGGTAAAATTTCTTCAAGTTATTGA